CCCTCTAGTCTCCCTTTTTCGGCTGCTAATTGAAGGAACGAGGGGAGATAAGAGCAGCTCAGTTGTCACTGTTTGTCAGGGTGGAAACTCCTGCTCCCTTCCAGATACTAGATAAAATGGAAGGGCTTTGCATGAACGTGAGTATATTTTAAGTTAAATTGCTTCCCTACAAATCCTGACTCAAGGAAACCCCATCCGGAGAGACTTTGCACCACAGCAGCGAGCCCACAGCAACTGGGATGAACGTTTAGCTGCAGAGCTCCCCTTCTGCAAGGCAAAAGAGGGAAGTGCCATGATGCACAATCAGACTGAAATCCAAAAAAGCCTCTGCTTTCATCCACAGCATCCTTCTGTGGGTTCACACATTCTGGTCCCTTTGCAGAGCTATTGGCCCTTCAGAAATTTTGAAGAGTTATGTTTCAGAAAGGAAAAAATAAGCAGCCAATCTATACCATAACCGGAATAATTAGAAACTGCATACGGTGTTTCTAATAGGATAATATTTTCTCATGAATGTTCAGATTATTGGTTCCTTTCACCCCATTTCTGTTTTTTGGGGAGGAATCCACAGCCACCATCGGGTCCTTTTCTCATATAAAATCCCTCCTTTTCTCCATGCAGGAGAAAACTGAAATTAAACAGAAGGTGGATTAAAATATACATAATCTCAAGTAGGCACCTGCTGTTTCCCTGTAATTATTCTTTTTGAATTAAAATCCTTTCCTACATGACAGATATAGCTCTGGTCTGCAGTTATTACTCCGTATTTCAGTTCTGTCACCGTAAGTCAGGATATGGCCACTGCTTCTGCGCGTGTCCTGTCGGCAGCCAGAGCCTGCTTTGGGGAGGGCAGAGGCAACGTAATCATTAAAGAAAACCTGAATTAGTTTTTTTCCTTCGCCTTACACCTGAACCCTGCCAACCAAGCTGTAGGAAGACCGCACGTCTCTGCCAGCCCATGCACGCCAACCAGGTTGCAGAATATACCATGTCATACAGGCGGCACAGCTCTCAAGAAAACCTGGATAGCAAAGGAAACAGGGAATTCACGTTTTAAGCGCAGGGACAGCCACCACGTCCGTGCATCCCTTTCTTTTTGGCTCTTTTCTTCTGAATACGCACAAATTAGCCAGCAAGACGTAACCCGATCGAAATGAATGAACTGCAATACAAGCGAGTGGGCACATTAGATGGCAGCAGCCCTCCAAAAAGGGCTTTAACGGTCCACCATTTAATTACCTCGCACTGACATCAAACACTCACAAATTAAATGACAAAGCTGCCTTCAGCTTTCCCCCGTGATCCCAGAGGGAGGAACTGATGGCCAGCATCACACATAGCCCAAACCAGACGAGAGGTATGCAGAGGTATGATGCAGTATTTATAGGTCCTCTTTGATCAAACGCCATGAACACAAAGTAGCAGCAAACACCGGAGCCGAACGGTGGACAGCATAGTCCTTTCTACCAAAATAAATGCCCTACCTCTGGATTTTATATATGCCTTTGTAAAAGGTGCCTTTCGCCTCCCCGACTAGGCGACGCTCATTCCCTAAATACAGCCCTGGCTCCAGCCAGCTGCAAAACACGCACTACCTGCCACACGCGCTGCTGGGGGACTTCAGTAACATGTGTAAAGCTCAAGGAAAAAGAAAAGGTTTAGGTAAAAAAGAATTTTTCTAAATTGATTTCTCAGCTTATTTTTTCCGCAGAAAGTCCTGCTGGGGAGGCACTTGAAAACAGCTCAACTTTGGCAACGGCAGAGGTTTTCAATGCTGTAAACCATCTCTTACCCGAGACCCAGACCTTCAGACAGCAACACCAAATCTGTATTTCCTCAGACAGCAATACTGAATTTCATTTAACTCCTTTTAAATGTAAATCTTCTTTAAAGGTGCTCAACTAAGCTTTGATACCAACCTCTCCTGACACCCTACTGAAGAAGTTATTTGCTATAGCCTTATATGGAAAAAAAAGAGGTTAGAATGATTTCTTTAATTATAAGTCATATTTTTCCACTGAGTTTTCACTCCTTCCATCTCTACAGGGTGTCTCCTGATCCCTCCCTCCTTGACATGCGCTTCTTTATTTTTCAGGGCTGCAGTTTTACCAGTTGTAATTTGTACTTACGGTCGCCGGTTACTGCTTCCTCTCTTATTAATCCAACTGCACAAGTGTCAACTCCCATCACATGGTTCTCGCTCAATGCAAAAATTCTGCAAAAACGTTATTGCACAGGAGCTGTGTGACTGTGCTGTGCTCGGTAACGGTTTTTAAGGACTCCTAAGGAAGGGGAAAGTGTCTCTGCTTTGCTTTTCACTTCGATGCACACGCTCCAGACTACAAGGTATCTCGGTGAGGCAAATAAAATTGAAGTAAACCTCCCAGTGCAATTTCTTTACCGTTTCGCAAAATGAAATAAGTGCTGTCTGGGGAAACATCTTGTAAAACAACGCTTGTACAGATTTGGGGTTTTGGGATGGCTGCATCCATCTCTACAGGGGAAAGTCTCCCAAAAATGAGTTCCACATTTCTATCTTGAAAAGCTATGTGGCTTTTAAAATTTCAAGCATTAGTGTCTCCCACTGGTTCCTTTAATGAGCCATCTGAGTATTTTATGCAAGTTTAGTGTCTTAAACAGTTATCTTTTTTTTTTTTCCCCACTCCAATTCCCAGAACTGCACTGTGAGTAACACCTCACCAAGTGCTTACAAACAGGGCTTTTCTATGGGCAAGAGCCTAGCCAGATGGCAAACTTCACTTTTTTTCCTCTGTCTTGAGATTAATCACACATTTGGCCAAAACAATGGGCAGCTGGGCTGCTGCCTTCATTTCCCAAACGGCACCCAGGGTGACGGGATCAGGGCTCCCTGCCCTGGGCAGTCCCAGGCTGCAGAGGCAGGACATCTATATTTTGGGCTTCCAGAAATCAGGCTACGTAGGGTCTCACGTTGATACACATGTTTCATTTTAAGCATCCCAGCTGGAAGCGTTGGATGCCATCATTGACAACATAGCTAACAAAAACCTATTTAATTTTTAAAAAAATCATTTCCATGCTTATGTACCGGAATATCCATCCAAAAGAGAGACATACAAACCCTAAGCAATCCTGTGGCACAGCACATTTTTCTTTTTCATTCCGAAATGCAAGGCTGCAGCCCTGCAGCTGAGTAAAAACTGTTTTGACATCAAAGGGAGCACGACGAAGTCATGGAGATCACACTTCTGGGAAAAAAGCAGAGCTACCGGACTAAAGGCAGAGCTGATCCACTGTTTATGTAATATTCGCAGTCATAAATAAGCAAAGAAAGGAGATTCCAGCACAGAAAGTGGTTTCTAAACTGAAAGGTATTAAGCATCTTCCAGGGGCTGTTGATCTATGGAGAGCTTGTCCTCAGGGTTACCGAGCTCATTTCTTAAAGCCTTGTGGACAGGCATCCTCTGCTGTGATGGAGCTTAGCCTAACAACTCATTGCATCAGTGCTCAGCAACCACCGCACTGTCGTTGCGCATGTACCGAAAATCAAAGGGCAGGCAAGCTCCAGACCTCTTCTGCTCGAGGACACGTTGCCAAGCGCTTCCACGGTCCCTCTCCACCAGGACGCACCCATGCACACACGTCAATGCACTGGTGTGAGGACAGTGAAGGTGACAACCCGTGACCCTGACTTGTCTCTGCACGACACCAGATTTCATCGTTCCACTCTTCTCCTCCTGAGGAATTCTCACAAACTCTCATCCAGGCTTTCTTACACGCCAAGAGAGTCTGTGGCAGCTCCATCCTTGGAGATATCCAAAACTTGTCTGTAGGTGGCCCTGGGCGAGCTGCTGTAGGTGACCCTCTTGGACTAGAGGGTCTCCAGAGATCCCTGCCAACCTCACCTATCCTACACAAGTCCTCCCCACCCAACTACCAGCGTTGACCACATGCCATTACTCCAGAGGAGCAATTTGAGTTGTGCCTCCACGGGGGACTGACTTCTTTCCTCCAGCTCCGCAGGCAAGATTAAAACAAGCAGCAATTCAGTGACAAATACATGATGCACTCAAAACTCACCTCTACCTCCTTCCAAATTCCCTGTCAAGTCTGCAGCTGTTTCAAGCTCCATACTTCAAATAAAACGATCTTCTGTTAACCCCTCCTAGGCTCCAGCCCTCCTCCGAGCCAGCTGAGCCACCAGAGCGAGCAGCGGGCTCAAGCGTCTCCCCTCGCTTTGGCCCATCTCTAGCGAAGTGCATCTGTGCCTTGCCCTAAAACACAAAGGAGTTATACCGCGGCTCTCTGCCAGTGCCAGCAGAATGGCTGCTTGGAAAGTCTGGTTGCAGACTGTGCCAAAAAAAAGTGCAATTCGCACCCTCGCCTCGAAAGGGGAATAAGCGAGGAATTCAGCTCCTGTCCTGCTGCCAGCTGTAAGCCCAGGCTGAGAAAGTTGTCTAAGTAATGCTTATGATTTAAGAGAATGACAGCTATTATGTTTCTGGTAAAATGAAAAATGGACTAACAAATAATCAGTTTGTTATTCTATGGGTCATTAAAATACAGGTTTATGATCCTTTTTAGAAGAGGCTACTTTGAATTCAACACAGAAAACAGCTTGTCAAGCTGTGGCTGTTTGGTGACATTCATTTTTTTCCCCCCTCTTAAATTTTAAACATCCCTTTTAAAATTATTATAACGTTTGCTGCATTAGGTTAAGCAGCAATTTATTTGATACAGAAACCACCCTCTTCCTCCTCCCCATATGAGGAGTAACTTTTTTACATTTGTTGGTTTTTAATAAGCAACCTTGTGAAAGCTTGACTTTTGAAAGAGTACACCCCATTTATTGCTTATTTGATTTGTGGGTGCAATATCCAGACTCAGAGTGCACGCATTTGGAAACAGGTAATGCATAGACAATTTAGGCATGGGAGCACACAGATCCCTACTGCAAAACCCAGGTGTATCGCTGCAGCTTGCTTTGCACCTTCGTTAGGACCACAGCAAACCAGTCTCTTCGTGCCTCCTGCCCAGAGCATCTCTGGGTTGAGCAGCACAGAAGGATGCGAGGGTGATTCGTGTCAGCTACCAGACACACACAAAAAGGGGATTTGCAGGATAACCCTCCTCTTCTGCACGAACCCGAGGAAATCTCTCCTGACAGCCAAGACTCTGCAGGCAGGGATGAGGGGACAGGGGTCCGGGGACAACCGAGCACGTGAGGGGTCTGAAGCTATGCCCTGCACACCACCAACCCTCCCCAAGGTTTACTTACCCCAGCCAAATACTCCCAGCTCAACAGCTGTGGCTCCAGCACAAGCTCATTAATCGCACGTAATTAAACAGCAATAACACTGATTTACCAACTGGACATGGACCTAAATACTCCACAAATACATATTGCTTGACGGGGCAATTGCTAATTTACTGTAGACACTGAGTAAATTGGATTTGCTGGGCTATCACCTCCTTATGGGACACTGCAGAAAGGGCTCTGCACGGCAGCAGCACATCTGTACTTCATATTGTTTACTTTTAAATGAAAGAAAATCCTATCAGGTTCTTTTAAGTCTTAAGATAATAATCATCTAGAACAAACAGTACAGATGATTTCCCCCAAAAAAATCAAAGATGAGGAGGGCTGTTGACACATACAAGAAGAGATGTGACAAGTTTGACTCCCCTTGTAATTCCACTGCCCAAAAACCTATTAATGTCTTAACATTCCCCTAACAACAGCAGTTGGAAGAATAGCTTACTTCCTAAGCATTTAATTCTGCAGCTGCCTAAATACATCAGCTTTAACTTTCCAGTAGACAAGAGTTTCCACTTAGCCTAAAAAACTTTTAATGAGTTTGCCATCTTTTTTTATATTCCCAGTCTAAGCATTTTAAGAAAACAACTCTTAAGAAAACGATCTAGAAAAGAAAAGCACACACTTGTGACAGATCCTGGCAGCAGAGAGCTGGACTTTTTTTATGTATGGTTTGTGTGGGGTTTTGTTTGTTTGTTTGTTTTGTTTTTTTTTAAATCAGTGTGTCATATCTGATATGGATTAGCTCAGAAAAAGAAACACATGATGAGATGAAGAAGGATAGGGATTGGTCTGATCGATAAACCACACCATTACCAAGCTTCCCAGAAAACACCAGCTCTGAGGTTTATTCAGCTAGCTCCTCTGGTCACGCACAGCCTCTGGACTGTGGGTTATCTGAAGACAGTCTGCTCTTGACAGACTTTAATAATGCTTAGTCTGGGACCTCAGTGGGGTTCCAGTGCTCCCCCTCCTTCCCTCCAGCACTCCTGGGAGCTCCAAAGGTGCTTGCCATTACTTGGATTTCAGATCAGAAATGCAGCATCCAGCTGAACAGCTCTTCTTTCTAGGCAAAGTCTCTTATTTTTAAACAAAGCTGAAAGAAAACAAGGGTTGAACAGTCCCTACCACCAGCTCCACTGCTTGTTAGTGCCTCTGCCGCGTCAATCATGGAGACCTCTACGGAAGATGCAGTTTGCAAGAATACTTCTTATAATACTGCTTGGCTTTGCCAACAATAATTTTTCAAGTACTTTGTCAAAGAAAAAAAGTCACTTCAGAAGACAGGGATGAAGAAGAAACACTGGTGTGCCTGGGATCTGGTACCAGAGCCTGTGATACACTCACTAGGTCATCTTGCCTCTGCAGGCATCAGGCCTGAACAGTCCTTCTGAAGATACCACCATGATATCACTGCTTTCCTAACCGGTCACTGTGCAATCACTGCTTCCTAATCAGGCTATATACATTTCAGCCTTTTTTCCCCCTCTATATCTAAAACTGGGGAAATACAAAACCCAAAATCCTGCTTTATCCATGGGCATAGCAAGTTAAACCTCTCATTACAGGGAGGAACTGCGATTTCGGTACATTTTTAACCTGTCAGTCTGGGTTTATTTGACATCTTCCCAACTCCAAAGACAGGGCATGAGCTGTGCTCCCTCAAGCTTGCAGCGCCTGTCCGTCTCTCAAGTTTTAATACCTTTATCAAGTGAAGCTCCAGCCATGTGGTAGAAGCTCAAAGCAGTGTCCACATCGTTTATGTTCTTCAGAAAAGTGAAGAAGCTCTCCACCTCTTCAAACGTCAGCCCCTATGACATAGAAAAGACAGTCTTACAGCGATGGGAAAAGGAGATCATGACACTACCTCGATTATGAACGACAAAGTGACTCATCAGCCCAAAACTGCAGCCAGATGGGAATTCATCTGCACACTCAAAACACTCCTACCTTGGCACTTGAGAATATGGTTTGTGACTTGTACTTTTGTTAACTGCCTCTGCTCCCCTCCCAGCCCCACCAGTCGTGCAACGGGAAAGGACTTCCCCATGCACAGTCAGCGGTGACAGAGACCGAAAAGCATTTCTCTGGCCCTTGCTTTGCAGTCAGTTCTCGCCCAGAAGAGCGGACACACCATAAGCCTGTGGCTGGGATCCAGGAGACCGCTGCAAGCAGGTTCATTTATATATTTTTTTTTCCTAAGCCTGCACACTTGCAACAACAATAATGAAATAGATCACGTGCTGCAAGGTCCCTCCCAAGAGATGCAGAGATCCCTGGGGGGATCCACATCTTACCCAGTGTCACAGAAGGTGACATTGCAAACCACAGCACGTATAGATGTGCCCCAGTTAGCCTTGGCTGCGGGGCTGCATCGCTGTCTGCTCTACTTACCGGCACAGTCGCTTGGGGCTCGGCTCACCCTGGGACAGGCAAACATGTGCCCGGTGAGTCCTACAGACATGCACCCGGATAGTCATGGAAAGGAATCCCGAGATCCCGTAGCACTGGCACCGCTGCATCCCAGCGCAGCCGATGGGCAGGCAGGGGATAGATAAGCGACACGCTCCTCTGCACCGATCCCACCGGTCAGCAACTGTTGACGAGCACAGCTCTGGGACTCCCACCCAGTTACACTACACAACACCTGATTTTATCAACCCATTTAGCACCAGCACCACTGCATCAGCGCTGAGACAAGAGCTGCAACCTCCAAACCCCCCCACCACAGCCCAAAGCCAATGGAGGAGGTAAATCATCACCACGGTAATAACCACTCAGCCTTACTCTCTGGAAGAGATAAATCAGTTTGTCAAGTGGAGTTCAGGTTCAGGCTCCTGTCTATCCTGTCTAGCACGACACACCAATATAGCAAGATTCTGAAAATCCCAACTGCATAACATGGCATGGTTTCACGGTCTGGATGGAAGAGCGCACATTCAGTGGGTACTGTCAAATATAAACTTATACAATCCATTGTAACCCTGCTCAAACTCTTCCCAACATCTTCTAATCAGGGAAGGAGCCACTTATCTTTTTTGAAAGAAAAAGCACATTTTTTACAATCTTCTCATACAGACATGGTGCCTCTAAAAGCGTAAGCAGAAGAATTACAGAAAATTTGCAGCTTGTTCCTATCTTTGCTATAACTGAGTATGTGGTAATGCACCGCTGATGTTTGTTGCACAGCGTGCACGCCAACAAATGCCACAGCAGGCTTTGTTGGCCCTGGATTCATGGATCCAGACCAAAAAGGATGAGATAGCAAAATGCACATGTGGACAATGGATCTGAAAAAAAATCCCCAGTTACTATACAGAGAGCTTTTTTAAAATGTATACCTGCTCCGCTTCCCAATTGGCATGCTAAAAGATGTATGGCAGAATTAAATAATACACTGTCCTAGCACCAAAAAAAAAAAAAAAAAAAAATCAAAGAAATCAGGTACCTCTGCAGGAAGTACTGAGAAAATTCCTCTGTTTTATACAACGGATCTACAAGAGAAAAATACCTTTGCAATTCAGATGCCCACTCGGAAGCTTCCCTGCTGTGCATTTCCTGACGGACATGCTCCTGCCTGGGAACAGAGCACTAAAAATGTGGAAAGCTGGCAGGAACCAGGAGCTGCACGGCCACTTTCAGGCCAGGAGAAGACACTGTGCTGTGATTTACCTGCTCTCTTTGGGACATCTGAGGTTTGTAGTAGTGGCTGCAAGGCATCCCAGCAGCTATTCTAAGTTAAGAGCCCTAAACTTCGCATTTTCCTGGAATCTTCCACCACGAAACGGCAGATCTCAAGGCCAAACAGTGTTGCTGTGCGTGGAAAACGGCCCCTTGTTTAGTACCAACACTGCAGTTGCTGTTGCTTCAGTGGGTAACAGGGAAGGTTTACATGCTCATGTATGTAACCTTGTGGTCCTCTCACCAGCTGAAAAAGCAAAACCAAAGGTGTACAAGGGTATCCTACAAATCCGGGCTTTCATGTGGGCAGAGATACTGAGTCTCTGTAGCAAAAATGCCATGAGTATTATGAAATTTATTTTATTGATGAATCCTATAGTTGAGGCTGGCATCAGTATTAACTCCTTTCCAGCTACCAAAGTAAAAATAAAATCAGAGCCTGAGGCAGTCTCAGGCTTGCACTGACAAGACAACAGATGACTGATCACCTTCATCAGTCAGAAGTCTGAGTATGGGAATTCATGCTCAGTCCTAAGTTATTCAATGTCTCCGTTGAAAGTCCAATAGACGTTCCCATTCTATCCAAGAGGCTTGTGTTAATTTGGAATCACAAGAAACTGCGTATCTGGAAAGCACCAGGATAGTGATTATGGGATATGAACGATCACTTCAAGGCATTTGTAGATCTAGCTGTTAATTCATAAGCCTGTGTCCTTTCATCATTTAAATAATCCTAGCGATACATAAGCAGGCAGACTGCAGAAACGCGTATCTGCTTGCAACAGGCATCTTGTGACAGCTCAAATACCTTCTGCAAAGGTTAGGGCTTTTCACCTGAGAACCCTGGTTTCAGCCGGGGAGAATTACTTCGTGCTCCCCCTCTCTGCCATCTCAACAGAAAAATATGCTACACAGCCCCCAAAGCACATGTAGAAGATGACCTGAATCACTAGTTTCTGAAGCGTCAGCTTGGTTTTCTAGTGGTAAGGGAATCACAAAGCAAATACCTTGCTTGTAAATACTACCGACGACTCAACTCCTCCTTACCAGGAGAAAAGCAGCTGAGTAGTATCTCTCAAGGGGGAGGACTGTAAGCAATTTTAAAGAAAGCAGGGTGGGGCAGCTCCACTGAATATGCAGAGCAGTTCACATATCCAGGGTAAGATGGGATTTTTCCTCAAGAAAAGCAAAAATGAAAGCAGATTATCAATTAATACAAGAAAACGTGCCATCCCCAAAAGCAGGTATGTAGAATAACAACGTTGGAAAACGGCTAAAGGTTAGATTAAAAGCAGAGCTTTAATGTTTTGGAGGCTGCCAGCGTTGCCTTGTGCAGAGAAGGTAATTACATCAGACAATGAAGATGATGTTTGACAGATTTCATAAGAAAGCACTCACAAGGTAAATTGCATTTCCAAGGTAAAGCTTGCTGTGTAGGTTTGGTACAATTACTGCTATTCCCCTCCCAGCATCACACTATTAAAAATTATTTTATTTCCACTTTCTTTGGAAAGCTATAGCAAGTCAAAACCCCTACTGCTTTCGACATAGAGGGGCGTTACACCAGGTTAGTGAACTGTGCAGGTAATAATACTACGCTGCTATAAAAATAGGCTAGCAAAGCGTGAAAAGAAGGGATTTGGGGAAAAAAAATTTCTGTAAAACATGTTTGCATTGTAAACCTCTCTGACCTACAAGGTGTTCAGTGACTGGAAAGTATTATAGGATAAATCAAGCAGCTGGGTGGCTTTAACGTCTCTGTGAGGTCTGTGAGCCAAAGGGAGAGCAGTGGATAGCACCGGCTCCGCTCCCTTTTTATACGATGGGAGTAAAGCAGAGCTCGACGGAAGCAGCTGCTTGCCCTGCAGATGTCTGCGTTGCAAACACAGAGGAAGAAGCAATGCCAGCATCAAGCTTTTGCAGTTTAAAGTGTGAGAACACTCTCTGGCTTAATACCCCGTTCATTTACAAAGAAAACTTCGCAAGAGCATCCCTGAGTAACTTTTCCAGAAAGGTCGAAAGGCTGTTAACATCATTCTGGTCATGGCAGCCCTATTTCTAAAGAGATGGGGAAATTTAAGCTATGTAAAAACACTGACAGCTGCACCAGTGTGATCCAAGATAAGTAGATAAGTGTATTTAGATAGAAAGTGCTGCATGCAAGTCTCCAAGGGATATGGTCTTCTAAGATACCCCAGGGGAAAAAAGAACCCCACAAACTTTCAAGAAAAGGCTCTCTTGCATAGAAGACAATGCAAAGTAAGGCACCAGGTTAGATTCTCCGTGAACTAAAACCTGCTGAAGTGGAGGATTTCAGTGCCTGATTTTTCTAGCTCTGCATAAGCGCTGAGTTTGAGCTGCCCGGGCTGCAGAAAATGCTTATCTGCCTCCAGTGCAAAGTGGCTGGCACTTCTTGCATCCTTTACAGCTCCTTAAACCATTAAATATCTTGTACTTGTTAACAGAGAGGCCGTCTCGCTTTAGGATTTTGCGTGATTCAATCCCCCAGGTCTAAGGAATTAAGTGTTTTCCACCAATTCTGTTTCTTGCAGATGTCATTTTTTTGTCCTATTCCCCAATTTCTCTCCTTGAAAGTCCTTGGAATAAAGAAAGAAAAAGGCTTGCTCTGAATCCGGTTGTCTGCAAATAGAACACAATCTGGCTGATTTGGGAATGAGGAATAAGGTAAGAACAAAAAGTTCTTCCTCTGCCACAGATGTCAGTCTTGGCTTACACATGAAAGGAAGAAAACATCTGCTGCAATAAACCTTACAAAATAACTCCCTCTGCCTAATTTCTCATATACCCAGCTACTGTTCAATAATAGATATATGTGTGTGTATGTGTATATACATATTAAAAAAAGGCCAAATCACAGCAAAAGAATCAACAGTTTGGGAACATTAACAACAGCGCTGGTATTTTGTGTTACACGCGCATCACAGTTAAGTATTTTTTCCATGAGAAATCAAATGATTCCCTTTAAAACTCAAGGGGAGCAGAAGTATTAGAAAAGCTCAATCTGCAGTGTCTTGCTCAAAGATCCAATAAACGGACACAACCTTGGAAACATCAATGGTCTTATTTAAACCGGCAACAAAGAGCTTGAGAAGTGAGATTTCCAATTATTAGCACGCAAGGCATCTCAGCTCCGATGACACGTTGACACCATCTATTGATAACAGTCTATTAAATATTGAGGCTATTTTCCTACAAAACATGAGGGAATCTGCAAAAAAACGTTCTTTCTGGCACCCCAAGGCCACGAGAAACTGCAGGTACTGCGGCTCCTCCGGCAGGAACGCAGCTCTGAGCATGGCCTTTTCGGTCGCTTACCGTTTGCTCTAGTTTTTAACTTTTGGGCATTATTTGCAGTTAATAGAAACCTATTAGTCTACATGCCTCACTACTTCAATACACCCAAATTCTCCTCCAGCACCAGTGAAAGAGGGAGAAAATAGGGGGGAAAAAAGTCACTGGAGTGGTTTGACATGAACTGAGCAAAAAAAAAATTCCTGCACACCACAGGAGTCCAGTTAAGGCACCAAAAAGGGACAAAAAAAGGTCTAGACCCTGGCCAACACTTGAGTTTCATAACACACTTTGCATCTAAATCAGTTAAGAAATAAACACCAATTCTGATGTCAGGAGGAAGCAGCTCTAAAACACCCAGACTGATCCAATACACAGCCAAAGACTTTCCACCCATTCTCCCTCGGACGAATTGCTTGTTTATAATCTAGTTAACAGAAGAACAATCCATCTATAGAAGCAGACGTGAAATTCTAATACTGAAGTAATTTAGCCGCCCATACTTGCCTTACCCGAAAAAGCACATCCTTTCGGTATGGATGTCTTATTCCAAGGTCTCTCACTAAATTAATGAGGGTAGGATCTGCAACTTTATTCCCCTCTAAATCATGAGTAATTAAAATAATTTTTCACATAAGTTAATAACTAAATAATAAACTGCCCAGTCGCAGCAGCTAATTAATCCAAGGTCGAGCCAGTAACTAGGAACAAGTCTCCAATGTTTATTCTAGCTCCAGACCCAGGGTGCCGTTCAGCGAATTTAAATTTTGAAAATTACAGCATCCATTTTAATAGGGACAAGCCTACAACCCGGTCTGGACACTGACCACCGCACTCCCACCTCTTCCATCTTCCTGCTGCTGGCAAAGTATTTATCATCTGCAAAGTCAGTGTTTCTCCCTGCACTGCTTAACAAGATGCAGGTGCTTTTCTTAAGAAGATGGAAATCGCTTACTTATTTCTCAGTATGGTGCGGTACAGCTGCCCCCAGCGCAACTTCCCGAGTCTGCCGTGAACACCACTGACCTCTCCGTCTTGGAAGTGCTTCTTGAGCTGCTTCAGCATGACGGTGAGCTTCTTGGACTGTACCCCACTGTAGGCCAGCAGCATGCTGCCGAACTGCCGCTCCGTGATCCGCCCCTCCACCGGGTCGTGCCGCTCAAACTGCAAGGGGGAAAAAAAAAAAAATATAAAAAAAATAAAGGGAGATGAAAACAAGACAGTGCAGCAGAAAGCTCCAGCCTGGGTAAGGGCATAAAAAGGTACTGTAACAAAAAATGAACACTGCAGGAAATGCTCATGAAGAAGAAATCCTAATGCATTTGAGTATTTGCTTTCCCCAGGACTGTCTCCATCAATAAGACAACATTTTCCCTGCGTGCTATTTCTTGGACAACTTCTGGAAGAACTCTTTGTATCTCGCCCTCCTACTTTTATCTCACAGGAGGACAGCACTGGTAAAGTTGGACTTGAAAAGGCGGGATGATTACGTGAACTTGAAACCAAGCTAGCATCCACAGGTCTCCCAAGGGGTGGAAAGCAAGGAGAAATACTGTGGTGTTCTTCACGCATACTTCCAGCTCGGAGGTCTGAGCAAGCATCCCAAGAATTTGGCTGCTGCAGTGACCTTTTCTGATCGATCAAAGATCTGTGCAGGACTGAGCTAACGTGCAAATGCATGCCTCAAAAGAAGCACATGTAGAAGTGGTTACACAATGGCTATAAAGGGGGATGGTGGTTAATAAACCAGGAAAGAAAAGTCTTGCAAAAACTAAGTCTCATTTTAGCTCTTCTCTCCTCCAAGCCCTGTACCAGTGTCCCAGCAAGGGAAGGTTCATGGATGCCTCTAGACCTCACCTTCCCCAGTCCCAGAAAGTTCTCCTTGTCCTTAGCCCCTTCCACTCCCCAACCTTCATGAATGCTGCTGTGAGGCTCCTGCAGAACTTCCCACAAACCCTTTGGCAGAGAAAGGTTTTCTCCATTCACCCATCTCTCCAGCGTTAGTTCACGTTCTCCTGGCTTTTGCTGCAGGGGAGAAGGGAAGAGGAATTCCCCAGCTTGGGAAGGTGCTGGGTTGGAGCACCAGGTCTCTGCTAGCTGAATAATGCAGATTTCATCTTTTCCTTTTTTCCCCCCACCTCTTTGTGGCTTTACAAACATCAACGGTAAGACTTCAGCCGACTTCGGTTTCACAGATCTCAGCATTCAGGTTCCCTTATTTGATTTCCTTCAAATTTATCAGAAAACAAATGACCTACGCTATAGCTGATCACAAGCCAGAAGACGACTTTTAACAAATATTTTTCAACTCCTCCGGAACAGCTTAGTACCGCCGACTTGACATTATATTGCTCGGCGAGTTAACCATTTCTGCCTCAACTGCTCTTCTGTGCTTAATTACACAGCTAACACAAAAGCCAGCAAGGCACCCAACTGAGATGAAGATGGGGAGATGAAAGCCATCAGCTCCACCAGCTTCACTTTCAATCCTTGTGTAGGCAGAGCTCCAGACGCAGCAGCTATATATGCTTTTAAGATACAGTGCTCTTCAGTTACGCTATATAGCGACTAGGTTGCTTGCAAACAAGATATTACAATTTCCATACTCATGCCAAGTTGGGGGGGTAAATATTTTTTAATTATTAGCATATCAGCCAGACTTTCACTGCTTTTCCCAGTGGGACGCTAAGTGATTCCTATTGCATTTGAAATGCATGAAGTGCCAGGGCTGGAGGGGTTTGGACGGACTACACTGGCAGGAGACAGCTCCCAACTGGACAAATTCTGCTTCTTAGTACCTTGTGCTTCTGCTTGAGTGGCCCACACAGTATTTGGGAAGAAGATAGCACTTTTTACTGTCATCTGATACAGACTTTGGGGGTTACTGACGATGCAAAACCCCTCCTCTTCCTTCTCCTCTCCCCTTCTTGCATGCTGGGGAAAGGAGAGGGAGAAGTCATTTGGAGGAAAAGTAAGTGTTCTTCATTAAAAAAGCAGAGGTAGTCATTTCTGCCATGTTTGAAGAATGTGAAGAAGTTTTACAATACCCAAGGGACGCAAAAATTCGCAGTCAGTGCTGTTTCAAAAGCAGCACTGATGCTTTCTTCTGCTATAATATTCCTAATTTCATCCCCAAAGACATAAACCCGTGTTTTTCTACCAACTGCCTTCAAATATCCCAAGTTTTAGCAGAGCTTTAGGTAGCGTCTTTTATTAAAGGATAAGAAATGGGTCCGAATATCTCCAATCAACCTCATAAGTGGTGAATATGCTTAGGAAAGTCTTGAGTCAGTGCCTAAAAGCCCCCCGGAGCTTTCCCCCTGCCCTGCATTAAGGAGCGGGCATTATGCAGCTCCACCGGGTAACAGAAGCAGCACAGCTCCCTGCAGTCTTGCAGACGGGGAAATGAAAAAACGTCAGCTCCTCACAGTTTTTTTTTTTGTAACTAGGCACTCAGTGGTCAGATTTGCAATAGTGGATGCAAAAAAGACCAGAAAAGAAAAATTAAAAAATCTTTTCATTTTTCTCCTGATGTGCCTCACACAAAGCCTTTTGGTGCCAACTTTAAGATAAGAAAGCAGGATTATTCTCTAAATGCCAGGCTGAAGAAGTCTTAACAGGAGCACGATGATGAAACACAATTTCAGGTTAGCTTTCCTCTTTCTTTCCCATTTTCAGCCGTGGCCCTGAGATGTTCAAAGCGACTGCCCCACTGCTGCTGCAGAGGGTCTCAGTGAGCCCTTCGGCTCCCCTCGCTCGGGTTTTCCCAATTAAAAGATGAAAACACACCTACAGTTTAAGGATTACCTGGGGAAAGTTGGTACATTAAGAATAAGACTAATTTCCAATCAATGTTCGCAGTCATGCAGCTGGGAGAAAGGCAGACAAACATGCTTTAAGCAGGATTACTTGTAAAATTCAATGCAAACTAACTTCTAGATCTCAAATGTCACTATTGAAAACGGATAAACAAAGTTGTCTTATTTAGTGGTACCTATTACTAAACATTTATAGCTACAGAATAAGCAATGGAGAAAAAATGCTTATTCCTCCTGCGATTCACCTTCTCAGCTTTTGGTCCTTGGAGTTTTAGGGATTTCCTCGGTGGGAAGCCGTAGCTGGACTGATATGTCTAAACAGCCACATGACAAATTTCTCCCCCCAAGAGGTTGCCTGATGCCACTTAGCACCCACTAATTATGAAAACAAAGCATACTGCCCCAAAAGTTTCACAGCAGGTACTACTGGCATGCTTTCAACCATCACTCACGCAAGGAAAGGATGGACAGAGGTGTAGCAAAACACATAAAACCTGGGTTTGGGTAACCTGGTCTAGACCAGGCACCGGGGATTCTTTTGTCCTACAGGGAAAATCAAGATCAACAAGTGCTATTGCATCGGCTTCAAAGACACGAGCCAAGGCAGGTGAGGAAAGCCCTTCTGGAGGCAAACCTTTCTACAGTGTCTGTTCAAAATAACTCCAATACTCAAGTACAAGGATCTCACCAGCTCTGAGCAGCCAGTATCGAAACGTGGGGCACAATCAATATGCTGACGGTCACAGTATTTTTGGCATCTTACAAAATTTATTGAAAGTGAAGTAGAGCACCCATCCTACTGCCACAGCCTGAGTCTTGATCACAGCAGTGGCAAGAGCCTCTCCTGCAGCAGACCCACTGCATAAGACAAAAGAGTTTTAGTCTTTTGATTTATCGCACAGCTGGGAGACTCTGTTAAAGGACAAACTAAAGATAAAACAAATCTAAGATGAAGGAACTAAAATAAGTTATTTATACAAACCTCTCTAAAGTACAAAATTGTCCTGAGACCCTGTGAATAAGCAAACTCATTCCCCCTCCCTGTGGGCTCCAAAACTGGTTCCAACTTTTAATTTCTGCAGGTGGCTATCAGGTGCAGTGATGAGTCAAGACACCACACAAACATTATTCACATGAAAAAAAAAGCCTGGAAACCATGGAATTAATGCTTCTTATTCCAGATTTATCTCACTTTAAAATGAACACCTCTAACATTAAACCGAGACACTCACAGACGCAAAAGTCAATTCCTGGCAGCCAAGCGTTTTGCTCTCCCATACACAGCGGCGTTCATTGCAAAGGCCAGCCTACAAAGGGGTTGGCAAGCGAGAGCTGGTCAACAACTAGATTCCCAATTCAAATACAATCACCACTGAAGTGAGAAAAAGCAACAAAACCACGGTGATGGGTAACGAAAGTTTGAGATTTGCCTCCAAGCTAGTGTCAGAGACATTTACATTAATTACAGAAGGGATGAGTGGGGGATGTTTAAAGACGATACAGAAAACCAAAAATTTTGGTGAGAGAATTCTGCCTGTTTTTTTCTGGTATTTTAGCAATTGTGTTTATTCATAAAGAAACTTGACTTCAAATGATTTGTGAGTGGAAAAAACCCTTGATTTCAGCTTTGAAACAAACATCTATCCCTGCCACCTCCTTTCCCACCTCCCTCTCTGGGAGCAGAGGTACCACACTTGTGCCCTCCTGCTTTCTTAAACATCTTCTGGCCAACCCAACACAGCTCACCTGTCATCTCCACTTGAAAATGAAGGAGGGTGCAAAGCCTACAGTAATTTTTCTTTCAGTACTCAATACACAGTATATGAACAGTGTTAAGTGTGCAAAATCCCCATGTATTTGAAAAGGCAGGGAGAATAGTGTCTTTTCCCAGGTAATCACGATCCTTTGCCTTCATGCATGTGATGTTACTGTACAGGTTATTTTTCCAGTCACTTGGGGAGGGGGGCAAAACCAACCCCAAAACCCACAAGGATGGGATGCAGGGCAGAGCACGCTGAGATTTATTACAAGCAAACAAGTCCTCTGACAGCCTTTTCCCTTTCATATATCTTAAGAAAGGAAAAGCACGGCCAAGGCAATCGCTCAGCTGGCATCGCAGGGCACCAGCCAGTGTGGGACAAAGCAGCTCCCATGTGTGACACCCACCACTGGGGAAACTAGAGAGGGAACAGGGGGTCCTACCCCCCCTCCAAACAGCAGCCCCTAAATCTATGCGTGCAACACAGACGGCTGGTGAGTCCAACGCCTCCGGAGCAGCTTCCACCCGCAGCCACTTGGTGCCAGCAGCGGATTCTGCATCTGCACAGCATCAAGGATCCAGTAAAT